CAGTGTGGGACCCTCAAAGACCGGCATGGGCCAGCAGGGTAGCGCGCTACAAGGCCAAGGATGTATTACAAGTAGATTAAGGTCAATAAAAGCCGTATTTAGATCAAGAGGACGCGCCAAGAGTAAGCTGACCATGCCTCCTAAAAAGAGGCAGCGAGCATCACCTTATACCTATTCGATTTCTGGTTCAAAGAGCAATCATAGTAAGTTTAACTCTACACTTTTGCAGTCTTCTTAAAATTTTAAATGTATGTAGACTAGAGATGTCAATCGGATACCAACTTTTTGGTATACCGATACCAAACTGATACCAACTTGGTATTTGGTATTTTGATCCTAATGTTGTTGGTATTTTGTTGGTATTACAAATCCGGCTAATGTATAAGAGGATACGAATTCGGTAAAAAGTTGGTATTTCCCTCATGTTCCCAAGTTGGTTTGGTTTCGGTATTTTTCATAGTTTTGGTTGGCATTTGGTTTGGTATCGGTATCCTGATTTTCCGTTATTGATATCACTAATGTAAACAATAGGCATACCTATAAGGTGAAATACACACGAAATACCATATCACACACGACAAACGTTAAACTATAAATGGCACAGTTGGTTGACTGTGAAAGTGACATAGGCCTTAACCCGCCCCCCCCCCCCCCAGTCGCAAGTGAAAATGGTTGCACCCCAAAACAAGTGACTGGATCTGCCCTTGGGCAGGGGAGCGGCGAAAAATTTTGTCCACCCAGTGAAAAATCCTTAGAGCGAGGCCCTGGGCTATAGTGTGCTTTCAAGCAAAAGGCTGGAGAAAAAGGGGTCAAAAATTGAGCTCTATTAAACTACTATTTCAGTTTAAAAGCTCATTTCAAAGGTGGACTATTTCCTTTAATGTTTACAGGCCAGCCCCTGAACAATAACCATTGCAAAGGTCACCGGGGTCCATTGAAACGGCCTGTGGCCCTGTTTCAACTGACCCTCAGAGAAGCGTTTCAATTGACCGCATCCGCTCCCGCCATCTCGCACGCGCCGTAAAGCACATGTCAAACGAGCTGGAGGGACGGCATCATGCTGAATGAAGGGCCAAATGAGGTGTTATTCCGGAGCCAGGAGTTCTTCTTTCAGAAAACAAAGGTATATGAGATATCACAAAATATTCATAAAAACTAGGTCACCCTCCCGCGCCTACCGGCGCTAATCGTCGTTTGAACTATTTATATACCTACACTGTGGTTTGAACATCTATATAGAAATCCCTGCCCGTCCTAGGTCACCCTCCCGCGCCTACCGGCGCTAATCGTCGTTTGAACATCTATATAGAAATCCCTGCCCGTCCCGTCCATAATGCCCGCTTTTCTCTCTTTCTTTCTTTCTTTCTCTCTCTCTCTCTCTCTCTCTCTCTCTCTCTCTCTCTCTCTCTCTCTCTCTCTCTCTCTCTCTCTCTCTCTCTCTTTCTTTCTTTCTCTCTCTCTCTCTCTCTCTCTCTCTCTTTTCCTTTCCCTTTCTCTTTCCCTCCCTGCCTCCATCCCTCTTTCCTCCCTCCTCTCCGCTCTCTGACTTTGTCGATCACTGATCCAATCGTATGCTTACTTACCCCTCCCCATCTGTCTCTCTCCCTCCTCTCCCCGTCTCCTTCATCGCACTTCTTCGCTCCCCCCTCCCTCCCTCCCTCCCTCCCTCCTTCGATTTCCTCCCCTTCCCTCCACTCCCTCCCTTCCTCTCCTCTCCCTTCCTCTCCTCTCCCTTCCTCTCCTCTCCCCTCCACTCCAATCCCCTCTTGGTACTGAAAAAAGTACTGGCTAGTGGCTTCTTCCCCGCCCGCGCCGCAGATACATATAAGTTTTTACATATGTCCCAGTTCAAGACGCTATATTGGTTTTGGTACGCTCCTTATACTAAACATGATCGCTAATTTTTCAGTATTTCGTGGAATTCTGTAACTAACCTATCCCAAATCTGAGTGACTCGCCCCGGCCCCCCCCCCCCCGACCCCTTTCCTTCCCTTCCCTCCGAACTCCCCCCCCGAGCCAACACTCACGATCGGTAATGTTTTCAGTGCTAAAGATATAATAGTGCCTGCTCTGTTTCCGTCTCCGTCTTCCCTCTCTGTCTTAGTGTCTCTGTATCTGACTTGTCTCCGATTCCATCCCCATCTCGGTCCTGGTTCCTGTCCCCGCTCCTGCTCCCGCTCCCGATCTCTGTCTCCGTCCCCGTCTTCGTCCGCCTCCCGCTGACCACTCCATCTCCGTCTCCGCCTCTGTCTCTGTCTCTGTCTCTCTCTGTATCTGTCTGCTCTCCGATTCGTCCACGTTTCCGTCCCCGTTCCCGCGCTCCCGCCCGCTCCCGCTCTCTTTGTCTCCGTCTCCGTCCCCGCTCCCGCTGGCCGCTAAATCTCCGTCTCCGTCCCCGTGCCCGTCCCCGTTCCCACTAAACATAATCGATAATCTTGTCACTATTTTGTTGAATTCTGTAACCAACCTATCCCAAATCTGGGTACCTCGCCCCCCCCCCGCCATTTAGGATCGGTTATGTATTCATAGCGGCCGAGTGCCGCAACTAAGCTACATTTTAAATACGTCTCTCGGCTCCATCCTCTTCACTTTTTCTCTCACCGACTTAATCATTTGCTCACTTACCCTTCCTTCTTTCCCACCATCATTTACTTTATCCGTATTTCCGCTGTCCGGCAGCGGCCGCTCTGGCGGCACCGCAGTTACCGCACCAACCCCTCCGCCCGCTCGCCCCACACTGCGCCGCCGCCGGCCCGTGACTGCGGCCGGTCGGTCACGTGGGGACCGCAGCGACCTCTACGGGGTCGCGACCCTAGCGGCCGGGTACTGCAACTAAAGATGTAAGTACGTTTTAAAAACATCCCGAGGTGGAATCGAACCAGCGACCCACGCCCCAGAAGTCCACCACTCTACCAACTGAGCCATCAAGGACGCAAACCTTGTCCCTTTGAATAAGCCGTGGTACTCTGCACGGCTTGATGACATGGTCTGGTGCGTATTGCGGTGTTTTACGGCGAAGTGGTTGGGAGCAAATTTGGTTTTAAATGAAGGTTATACGCCATGTTTCTTGGCGAAATTTTCAGAACAAGAGGGCAAAAGCAAGGCAGTACGCTGTAATTGGTTGTCCAGCGGCGACATGCACGTTTTATGATTGGCGATTGCCGGTCGTGTGAGCTGACGTCACGCAGACAGTCAGCGCCATCTCTGGAGCGTCGGACGACATAGTCGAGGGGCCGAGTTTGGCTATTTGGGGGGTGCAAATGCGATTAAAAATGTGCCGCGCACATAGCCACGATCGAGAGCTGTCGATTGGTGGTTGAATCGTGTCTGTAGGTGGTGTGGTTTGGGCGGTTATCCCAAAAAACTGAAACGCTTCACGTATTATTTATTGTCGACGATTTCTCCCAAACGCCCCTCAAAAACACAAAAACAAGTGTCAAATCAAAATTACCGTCCGTTTGCCGCCCAAACGCCGTTAACAAAGGAAGTGGTCGAGCGCGGATGCGCAGTGGTGTCGGCAACGCCATATGCTGCATACTGTTGAAAATAAAGCCATGTTTCATCTGACCCCGTGTTTCAACTGGCCCCGCTCTCCCCTAATGTCATGGTTCTTTTGAGTCAAAAGTTATTGCCGAAAAAGCGCTTTTCGTAAAAACGGCTATTTTTGGAGTTTTTGCCCTCTGGAGGCTAAACCGTTGACCTGAGGTCAAATCTGAGAACATTGCTCAGAAAGGTCCGTAAAAGGGCTTGTGGTAACCACGTGTGTCGCCGGCCGGCACGGGAGTTCCCGGTGCAGACCGATTCGCGCGCCGACTTGTGACGTCGCTACCCCGCCCCGGCGCTGGGGAGGCGGCCCAGGACGTGTCTGTTCGTGAACTTTGTCCCATCACGATGCGACCGCGTGTCTGCGGCCTGCGCTGCCGCAGTGCGTCGGCCAGTGACCAATCCGCGCTCCGATCGGCAGCCACGTGGTGTCCGAGTGCTTCTGCGCATGTCTGGACCCGGCCCGCTGCGTCGGGCCGCGCGCTACCCCGGGACTTCTAGGCCGAGCTCTTGACCCGAGCAGACGCGTCACGTCTGGCTCCGCGATTTGGCCCGTTCTGTCCGGGATTTATAACTTAGATTAGGCAGGGCATATTTGGCAAACTTGGATTTCATTCTCGTCTCTTCGTCGCTCCATTGTCTGATTCGCTGTTTTGGTTTTTGACTTCGTTTTGGTAATTTAAATATAACAACCCGCTCTTTTAATTAATTCTTTTACTTGGGGCCGTTTGGATCGAACTGATTGAATTTTTGGAACACGCACCAGGTTGATATTTTCCATTTCTGATTAACGTAAAATCCAGTCACTGATATGTGGTGAACTGCCCCTCAGCACCACAGGCTATCGAATGCGCTTTTTCGCGGCGCTGTAGCTCTATCGGTTCCCGATATAGCCGTTGGCAGTTTCCAAAATGTTGAAATAGTCAACATTTTACCTTTGCTGCAACCTCTGGTGACGTGACCTTTGACCTGACGGCTGACCCAAAAAATGACAGAAGTGTTTTCGTCCTTATTTTGGACGTTCTTTCGATTGCCGCTTACCGCGTGTCGCTACGTGGCCGAGGAGCCGAGTTAGAAAGGGGGGGGTGTTCAGACACCCCCCCCCTCCCCCGGCCCGGCGCGGAATCTCAGAGCACCGGCCCGGTGCGGGTTAAATTTTAGTTTCGCGAATATTCGCGATTATCAATCTGCTGCTCAATTGATGGACATGAATCCACGATCCCTGCATTTAGATGATGTTCGAAATTTGTAACGCTTTCTTGTTGCTATGGCGATTTGGCAAAACATACGCTTTTAATTCGTCAACAAGTGCTTGCGGAGCTAAGCTCACCTTTTTGAACACAATCTTTATGCGTCAGTTTGTACGACGCGTGAAACATCTTGTGAGGCTCCGAAAACCGTCAATCTATTTATCTCCTTATTTATAAGTGTATTGCAACATTTCGGATATGTTTTGGGGCTAAATTTTGGGCTCCATTCATCCTTTCTTGCGTGAGAATAGTCATCATTTGGAGACCAGTAGTTAAAAGCATAAAATAACGACGAAGAGAAGGCCAAGGTCACAGGTTTGGGGTCAGAGCTCACAGGTTTTGTTCACATTGTCCTTTCTTTCTTTATTTTTTTTTTTGTTTGGAAGCGCTGCAGAGAGAGAACACACACTAAATGAAAAATTGGCGGTACACATGGAGGTCCCCGCTTCAAAATTAGTTAATCCCTATAATATAGACATCATTCTATAGAGAAACTCATGTTTAGTAAGAATAATGTGGTTTCCAGTTATCTGATCGATGATTTTAAGACCAAAAGCTAACTAATCGTATTCTTACCACGATCTCGGTGGAGCCGCACGACGGTCTGTTGTCAACATGTCAATTGTTGTTAAATACCATTACGCAGAAATGTAGTATCTTCATAAAACCCAACACACTAGGGGAACTGTGGGAAACCGGGGTTTTGGGTGGGGGGGGGGGGGTACTATTTTTATGAAAAAGTGATAGATATACACAAATAATTTTGGAATTACGTTTCTGTATTTTTAATTTTTAATAGAAGAGAATTCGGTTATTTTCTTTTTCGGTAAAGCGCCTCACGAGATGCGCCAGATCTGTCGACGAATGATAGCGACTTTTCTGAAAAGTCTTCAGAAATGTTTCGTTCGTAAATATTTTCGTTCGTGCATTTTCTTTATTTTCGTTTTTTGGTCCGTGCATTTTACTATTGCCTGCAATCTATTCCTGCAAGTAACTATTTCCTTATCCGGTAGGCAAAAATCAGTAGGTTAGGTTAGGTTAGGTTAGGTTAGGATTCCCGGTAGGCAAGAATCAGCAGGTTAGGTTAGGTTAGGTTAGGTTAGGTTTCTTAATGCCTGGTAGGCAAAAATCAGTAGGTTAGGTTAGGTTAGGTTAGGTTAGGATTCCCGGTAGGCAAGAATCAGTAGGTTAGGTTAGGTTAGGTTAGGTTAGGTTTCTTAATGCCTGGTAGGCAAAATAGGTTAGGTTAGGTTAGGTTAGGTTAGGTTTCTTAATGCCTGGTAGGCAAAAATCAGTAGGTTAGGTTAGGTTAGGTTAGGTTAGGTTAGGTTAGGATTCCCGGTAGGCAAGAATCAGTAGGTTAGGTTAGGTTAGGTTAGGTTAGGTTTCTTAATGCCTGGTAGGCAAAAATCAGTAGGTTAGGTTAGGTTAGGTTAGGTTAGGTTAGGATTCCCGGTAGGCAAGAATCAGTAGGTTAGGTTAGGTTAGGTTAGGTTAGGTTAGGTTTCTTTATGCCTGGTAGGCAAACTCAGTAGGTTAGGTTAGGTTTCTTTAAGCTCGGTAGGCAAAAATCAGTAGGTTAGGTTAGGTTAGGTTAGGTTAGGTTAGGTGAGGTTAGGTTAGGACACCTCTTTGAATTTCATCGAGTAATAATCGCTTTTCTCAAATTTAAAGTTGTCCGCGCTTTAGACATAGCAATTTGAGAACCTTAGTATTGTTTGTCATTTCTGGCTGCGATAAAAAATTGTGCACGCGAAACGCATCTGATATTTTTGCAGCCTTGATTGTTTATAAATTGTGTTCATCCGCCGTAAGCATGGCGTCAGCGTCGGTTGCGAGGGGTGAGGCGGGCTCTGGTATTAACTGGATAATTCGCCAGCTGACGCCGTATGGTGGCGCTAGTGGAGCAGCACTGTATGACGTCAGCAGAAAACATCGTGAGCAGCTATGAAATGGGAGCGAGCACCACGGAAATATCGAAAGGTGATGGACATGTACTGACTTTGGTCATTCAAGTACCACCATTACCATACAAAAACCATATAATATCATCAAGACTGATTCTGGAATCGATTTGTTCGGGTATTTAAAACACATAAAAAATGTTTGCTACCGAATTCTGAAACAGTATAAGGATATTCTTGTTCCTTACTTTCACCTTGTGGAGTACTTCTACTTGCCTTCTAGTGCGCCCATCACTATCTTGAAATCTGGATTGCAACGCTGTAGGAAAACTTTTTTTCATTTGTCATTCCTTCCACTTTTGAGCAGTGATAATTTATTTGGTTTTATACATTAAATAATGAAGAAGGCTCCTAACTTTTTAGGGATCTGCAGTGGCCCAGAGAGCCAAATCAGATATTTTCTAGAAACTTGAGGCCACTATTTTCTTATTTGCTAGATAATATACAAATATTGACATGTAAAGAATGATACGGGTGTATAATTCTGCAGAAATATAAATTCAAAGTATTTAATTTTTCAAGAACCTTTTTAATATCTTCCATAATGACTTCTTTCAATACAAGGTGGAAGCAATTTCAGTTAACAATAAAGCAGCACAAGGCTGTACCTTGAGCTGCGATGATCCATAACCAATCGGCACCTGCAATTTGATTGATCTTCGAGATGTACCCTGCCTCTGTTCCCTGACTTTCCCTTTTCGTTGTACCGGGTGAAGTGAATATTCTGTGAATATTCTTCTGACAGTCAGTTTTTAGTCCTACATTATGTTGTCAATCAGATTTAATTGGTTCAAAAACCGTCGTATCATTCGCAGTCTACATCTCCACATGCGCACCCATACATGCTCAAAATTTTCACTACGTATGTACTATGTACGCTATGTACCCTGCAGCGTATCCTGATGAAAAATGTTTTGTTGAAATCAGAGACACTTCCCAAGGTAGGCCATAGTCCATGGCCATATATTTAAGTCAAAACAGATGAAACAGATAAACACGATTCCAATCATCAAGTCAACCAACATCGACAATCTGCACATAAGTTCTAAACCTATTGCAAGACTACTTTGTATTCAAACTTTGTATTGCAGAAGGGTGGAAGCTGCATGGAATTATGCGACAATTTCAGCGTGCATCCACGCTCGAAAGAGCAGGGTTAATTGTAACAATGTCAATACCATAACAATAACGTAATTGTAGGTGTTGTGATTCAGTTGTCTCTTGTCTGTGCTGGCCATTGCGCGGGCGGTCCAGCGGCGGAACTCGGCTTCGCCGCCGTGGCGCGCTGGCAGTTGCTTCTTCTTCTTCTTCTGCATCCCACCGCCAACCCGCTCAGGGGGCGGCGGCGCAGGCGGGTCGAGCGGCGGCTCGGTCCGCCCAACATCCTCGATGAAGGTAACGACCTTCGTCGCCGGGCCGCCGAGGACGTCGACCAGGCGAGGGTCGACACCCCAGCGGCGGCGGCGGGCCGCCTCATAGGCCGGACAATCGGTCAGTAGGTGCGCCGCGCTGTCGGGCTCCCCGCACGCGGGGCATTCGTCGTCGGCTTCCGGGCCAATCTTGTGGAGCGTGTCACGGGTCAGCGGTGATGTGCCGGTCCTCAGCTGGGACAGCGTCACCGACCCCAGCGCCAGGGAGTTGTGGCCAGGCGTGGGGTCCGGGTGCGGGTGGGCAGCGGTTGCCCTCTGTCGCGACAGCTCCCGGACATGGCGCGTGACGGCGGCCCGCGCACTCGACAGGTCGATCGGTGCGCTGTCTTGGTCGCCCGCCGTGGCCTCGCCAGCCAGGCGGTCGGCGGTTTCGTTGCCGTCCAGCCCGGCATGGCCTGGCACCCACTGGAGCACCGTCTCGGTGCCGTTCTCGGCGAGGGTGCTCAGCACTCAGCAGCCTCCACACCTCGGCGGCCAGGGCCATGGTCTGGTTAGCTGGGCCGCGGCCGAGTAGTTGGAGCCCAGACCTTGAGTCGGTGAGGAGGCGGACCGACTTGGTCGATGCCAACTCCCCGTCCTCCAGGCCGGCCACAGCCGCGAACGCCTCGCGCATGGCGGTCAGTTCTGCACTTAGGCTGGAGCAGACCGCCCCTGCAGGAGCGCGCACGGTCTCTTCTCTGTTGAGGTGGTGGAACTGGATCAGCGCATGCGCCGCCCTGTTCAGTCCGCCGCGAGCCGAGCCGTCCGACCAGATAGTGACGTCCGGATGCGGGAGCTCTGCAATGGCTCGCAGGGCAGCTTCCCTGCGGACTGCAGGCGGGTCCGACCGGCGGGTGGCCACGGGCAGGTCCACCCTGAAGGTGATGCCGCCGCGGTGGCCCAGCCATGGCGGGTCGCAGCTGTAGAACACCAAACCTGTAACACAATAGAATTGCAATTGTAACAAAGACCTGCATGGTCAGCACACATCTGCAGTGACTGTCATTCCAAGTTGGTATGAATTGGCACAAAGTTGGGTCATGGTAGCAGACGTAGCACAAGCTGTTGTGATATGCCATACCTTAGGACTTGTACTAGGTCGTAGGTTGTAAATTTTAGGTTTAAGGCTGTAGGTTGTAGGTCAGGTTAGGTAAGGTTTGGTTAGTAAGACGCATTCTCGTGCATCGGGCAGCTTGTGCTACATCTACCTTACCAATACCCAATTTGAATTCCCAAAATTGATGGATTGATGGCAAACAGGCTTTTTGTATAGGTAACAAGTGTGGTTAATTGTTCTAATCCCCGCTGCAATGTGAGGGTAACTGCTTTTCTACAATCACAATATTTGAATTCATATAGGTAGGTGTTTATATGTTCAGAAAATGATACAAAATATGACACAATTATAGCTGCAACTGGATAGTGGATACCAACCTCAACTAAAAGTTTCTGCAGCCTTATAACCTAACAAATGACTAAATTGCCAAAATAAATCCCTTAGTACAATAGCTTGACTCTAAAATAACAGAAATTTTGCATGCAGACCCTGAAATGGAGGGTTTATTAAAAATAACAAAAATAAACATTCACTAATATCAATATGTTGTTATAAATTTCATATGTAGCATAAGCGCCAATACTGCCTTCATTTACAATGTTGCTACTGTTTTCCACTCACAAACGCTGCCCTCCGTGGACAGCAGCAGCAGCAGTGAAACGTCACCCGTGGTGTGACATCATCACCCATGACGTAATGGAAATCCAGTTGTTACCAAGGCCCGGTGAGGCATGTGGTGTTTTGGGGTCAATTTTGCCAGCTTTAAATGGTAAGCTGTTGCATTTTACTGGCAGGGAATGTTAGATAGTTGGATTATAGCATGTTGTGATACTAATTGGATTCATATAATTAAAACGAAAACGCTTGGGGACCTCCGTGTTTCCGACCGAAAAATTTCCAACAACTAGATGAAATGGATCCCTAAGCTGTTGCCGGCCGTCAAACGCTGCCGGTTCACACATGCCCGTCGACCTGACGGCCGTCGCTCCGTCAGTTTCGGGCGTTTTGACGGTGTCGGGCCCGTCACCGGCAGACCTTACGGGCAAGTGTGAACTGCGTTTTAGAGCATGGGCGTCAAAAGTGGGGGGATGGGGCCGGGGGGACGTGCCCCTCCCAGCCGAGGGATCTAGGAGGACGTCCCCTCCAAAAAATCACTCATGAATGTTTTAAAATATATGTGGTATTTATCCTAGGATAAGGTTTATTTATCCTCATATTAGGAGGATAAAATGACTCAAAGTTTTTCCCTCACAACTCCCTTAGCACCCCACTGTCCCTTAACACCCCGTTTTAAGTTTTTTCAATGTCAGTCGTCAGATCACCAGGTCACTTTGAATGACCCAACTTCAAATTGCTTTTTTGCAACTTTGTCACAGTGTCAGAGCTGCAGTAAATGGGGAAGGCCTTTGAAAGTCACAGGATGTAATGAGGTCATTAGTAGCTACAATTTGTATATCTCAGAATTTTGATATCAATGACTTAGACTCAGGTCAATTTCTTGACCTCCCCATTATAAGTCAATAGGGCAAAAATCAACTCCCTTTTTTCCACTAAAATTCATCAGAATGGCCCAATATACCCTGAATTCTTTTAAAGGTATTATCAGGGTTTTTTCCGAAATTTCGGAGTTACTCAGTGAAACGTGTAGATGAAGGTGGCTGAGGCCCCGATCCGAAGTCATTCGTCTCAAAATTGCCTAATTTCCAAATGGTGGGCCTCCAAAGTTGATCCGTCTGCCAGCCAGTACCTGGAGGAGGCAGTACCAAGTACTCGGATACATTTCCCTATAAGTCCATAGGCTTAACACTAGCTAGAGACTTCTAGAGATATTTTGTATGCCAGATAAGGCCGTCGCATACCAGATAAGGCCGCAATGGCCGTTCAACGTTACGTGGGGAAATTGGAGAAATCTAAAGACTTTTTTCTCTCTGACGTCTCCACTCCGCAACTGGCAAGCGTTGTTAGCATTGGCTCGTGTCGTCGTAAATAAGATTTGTTTGACGGATATTCCGTTAGTTGAGTGTGTTGTTGTAATTTCTGAGGCTGTATGAGTTGGACGGAATGGCGCCATCCCGCCAAGTGCGAAATCGGCGGTGTAGTGTGAAGGGTTGTGGAAAAACAAAGGCTGATTGTCATTTGTCCCGATCTCAACTTCTTCCATGTTCCGAAAAACCGTGTCAAGTAAGTCCAATTTGAAATGCTGGAGATTGCGGGGCAGGCACTAAGTGAAAAACAGTTGCATATTTTACGAAATTGTATTAATATATTTTTTATGTCAAACATGCACAAATGTCATGATCAAATGTTTGAAGTGTTTGAAGTGTTTGAACACACAAATGTTTGAAGTGTTACTCATACATCAAACAGTAAGGCGTACGAGTAAATTGTGTGGATGAAGTCTGAGTGGTCCGAGGAAAAAAAAAAACAAGCGAACTTGACCTAAGTCCTAATATTACCTATTACCTAATAACCTACTAAACTACAGCCTCCCACGAACCTACAACCTACATGCTTCAGCTTACAACCTACAACCTACAACTCGGAGTTCATCTACACATATAACTAAAGTACTCAATGTACTATCTGTGGTTACTTGTTATCTGTTACTTGTACTGGAATGGCAAGCCTTGCAATTTTCCCAGACCTTTGATCACAAAGTCATGCTGTTTTTAGGAGACTTGGTTGGGTGGCTGTCCTAGAAGATGGCTTGGCGGACAAGCAGGTTGACGAAGCACTTGTGTGTAGCTGCTACTTCAACCCTCAAGATCTTTTGCTTGGAGAAAGGGCTAGAACGTCACCACATGCCGTACCGTCAATAGCAGTCGTGGAAGGTGGGTTTGGCATTTCCTTTGTAATTGAACTGGTTTTTAGCACAACTTGTAAAAGTGGCACGAACATTGTTACATTGAACACTTGATGTGATGTAGAACCTGATAGCTGATGTGGAGTCTTGCAAATTGTATGAACAGCAGCTGGTGCATTGAGCTTGACAAGTGACGTTGGCACCCTAGTAGTCTCGTGTTTGAGTGTGGTCACCTAAAAAACTTGTGTGTAACCAACCATAAAGTTTTTAAATATAATTTTGGGATAATATTGATGTGGTGTGTTTTGGTCATATGGCTTGGATGGTGACTAACACTAATTAAGGAATGCTTCTTCACGACAATCTCCAGTCTCCTGAAGCACCATCATCTATATTTTCTTCCCAGGGATTCATCCCTGAATCACAATCATTACCTAGGCCAGATAACTTTGCTGGGCCACATGGTCAAAACAGTTGCAGCTACAGGGTAGGTATACCAGCTGTACATGTATTTGACAGACTAAACATTCTTTCTGTACATCTGGACAGGTAAACTTGATAGGCGGCCGGCGCGCGCCCATCGGCACCGGCGGCCGGCGCGCGACCATCCCATCGGCACCGGCGGCGGGCGCGCGCCCATCGGCACCGGCGGCCGGTGCGCGCCCATCCCATCGGCACCGGCGGCCGGCGCGCGACCATCCCATCGACACCGGCGGCGAGCGCGCGCCCGTCCCATCGGCACCGGCGGCCAGCGCGCGCCCATCGGGCACCGTCGGCGGGCGCGCGTCCATCGGCACCGGCGGCCAGCGCGCCCATCCCATCAGCACCGGCGGCGGGCGCGCGCCCATCGGCACCGGCGGCCGGCGCGCGACCATCCCATCGGCACCGGCGGCGAGCGCGCGCCCATCCCATCGGCACCGGCGGCGGGCGCGCGCACATCGGGCACCGTCGGCGGGCGCGCGTCCATCGGCACCGGCGGCGAGCGTGCGCCCATCCCATCGGCACCGGCGGCGGGCGCGCGCCCATCGGCACCGGCGGCCGGTGCGTGCCCATCCCATCGGCACCGGCGGCGGGCGCGCGCACATCGGCACCGGCGGCCAGCGCGTGCCCATCGGGCACCGGCGGCGGGCGCGCGTCCATCGGCAGCGGCGGCCGGCGCGCGCCCATCGCCGGTGCGCACGCGCGCGCCCATTGCAGAGAGAGGTGATGTGATTGACCCTGTTGGCCCCCCCTCCCCCACCCTCTGACCCGCCCGCGCGCCCCGACAGGTCGTCGTGTAGCGCGGCGCTCCGCCAGCTGCTGTGCTGGGGTTGGCGGCGCTCAGCAGCTACCAGCTGATGCAGCGCGCCGTGCTCGCTCGCCGCGGCGCAGTGTTTATAGCGCGTGCGCCGGGCGCTGACGGCAGTCGTCTGGCAGCGACAGCTCTGCCGGTGACGGCACACGCTGCTGCTGCAGAAACTGGACAAGGGCCTGCTTGGGCTCCTGGTCCTGGATCGGTACGCCGGCTCAGTCACCTGATGACGGCGGCGCACAGCGTGACCTACCCGCCCTACAGCCGGCCCAGCAGGGTGAGTAGTGAACTGAGTACTGAGTAGCGCTCAGAGTTAGCTTGAAGTTGTTTAACATGATGCACTGTTCTTCATGAGTCGTCCCCATCGCTGCTTGTGACTTGCAAGTTCCTTCTTTTTCGGCAGTGCGTCCCAGCAGCGATTTTCACCTCTGAGAAGTATAGTTGCCGTACTAGTGAAAAAGTGTATATCTTTGAAATAAACATTCCGTTTCATCTGCCCACTACCACTAACGCCCCTCTGCCCTCTCCTGCAGCGGACGGGGAGATCCACCTGACCGCTCCTTCCCCCTGTTCTGCTGCAGGCGGGGAGGCCCGCCCTGACCTTCTCCTCTACCCTCTGCCCTCTCCCGCAGCGGACGGAGAGGCCCGCCCGGGCCCAGTGCCGCACGGAGAGGCGGTGGCGCTGGAGGCCAACACCCCGGCTCGCGACCTGTAGCTGACGGTGCTGGAGCCGCGAGTCACCGTGTTGGCTGGCCATGGAGACTTGGAAAAGGTGGGTCTCCGCGCAGCGGAGGAAGGGGCGGCGGCTGACAGTGGTGGCCGCCAACGGGGAGCTGGGCGGCGTGGGTCCATGCATAGCGGGAATGTTCGAAAGGACAGCATCAGCTGCATTGTTTGAAGAGCTGCTGCAGTTGGGCGTTGAGATATGATCGCAGACTTGCAAGGAGATGGGCTCCTGAGATGCGTGCTTTTTTTTTGCTCCGATGATCCGGCTGATCGCTGTTCTATGAGGTCGTATTACCCGCCCGCGGTCACCAGGCCGGGGAGGTATATACGTCTACAGCAGCTGTGTTATTTGTCTGTCCCGGTTGTATCACCCAGTCTTCCCCCGTCCTCAGGCCGGTGAGGTGCGTCTCCAGCTGCGCTGTCAGACGATCCAGTGGAACGAGCAGCAGCCCATGTACCCGTCCCGGCTGTGCCGGTGTGTCTCCCAGCTTGAGCGGCGCCGGCCGACCGCTGCGCTGCTCTACAACTGCCACGTCCACACACGATGCACGGTCAGTCATTATACCGAGTAATGCTAATTATAACCGCGGGTGTTTTGTTAGAATGGCCCTGAGAGTGTGCCTTTGTTGTGTGATTATTGTTGAGTGCGTTTTCTAGTTGTGAAGTACACTGTGGTAGGCTCGACATTACTACTCATCAGAAGTGGCGGGAACACTGCCCCAATGCCCTATTGTCGATTGGAAATGAATAACTACAGCCGCGGCTCCTGACTGTATCCCTTTTCCCCGTGCGCCCTATCGCAGGTGACGGCTGACCAGGCGGTGCTGGTCTCGACCGCGGCCGACGGCCAGCCCGCCCAGGAGCACCAGGTCGCCTCGCTCTCCTCAGCCTCGGTCTACTGGAAGGCGCTGCTGGCGCCGGCCCTGTGGGCCGGCTCCCAGCACCCGCTCACAGAGCAGGTGTGCCACGCCGACTGGCTGCACTGCGCCGACGACCGGGGGACCGCCGGCGCTGAGCCGGCCGGCTCGCAGCTGGACCTGCCACTAGAGACGGACCTGTGCGACCTGGACGTGCGGCTGTGTCAGACCGGCTGGTGCTGGGCCGGCGCCGCCCGGTGCGCTGTCAGGTGGACGGCCGGCCCGTGCTGGCCGCGCCCCAGGCGGCCGACGCGCCGGCTCCCGGCGGCGGCGGCGAGCGGGCGGTACGGGCGCTGCTGCAGCTGCCGACAGCTGCCGCCGCCGCGGACAGCTGCCCGCTGCTGGTGGTCGTCTCCGAGCCGGCCCTGCTCTGCTGGCAGCCGGCACTGCTGCTCTGGCTGTCCCTGGCCACTCAGCTGGCCAGCAGCTGAGTGGCCCGGCGCCGCCGCCACTACCCCAGCCGCCCGAGCCGCCGCCGCCGCCGCCATGGATGTGCCCCGGCCGCAAGGACACTCGGGTACCTCGCGATCGGCACGGAGCCACACCACGGAGAGGAACCTACCCGCAGTGTCACCCAACACCTCCGCTGCGGCGGCCGTCTCCCCCACTCCGCCGGCGCCGCCCGCCGCTCCGACTTTGGCCTGGCTGCCGGCCCTGGAGCGTCTGGAGGTGCGCCTTCAGATCAGCGCGGTCACCGTCACCGTTCCGGCCGGTCCAGAGAGCGGCGGCGGGGCGGCCGGGGACGCGGAGCGGACGGCGGACCCGCTCCCGGCCGCGGCCGGCCACCACCCGGCGCCGGTACCGGGCCGGGTCCGCAGCAGCAGCGACTCGGGCCACCGGTACTGCCTGCACGGACAGCTGGTCTCTGTGCTGCCGTCAGTCCGACTGGACAGCGCTGCGCTCAAATCGGCCGCCCTGCCGACAGTGCCGGAGGTGCCCGTCCGACTCACCAGACCTTCAGCGGCCGCAGGTCAGTCGCGGCCGCCGCACGGCCAGCTCATACCGGCCACTGAGGAGGGCTTTTCCATAAAACTCTCAGTGCTAGTGATTTTGGCATTGGCATGGGGGCGGGTATTGGTACTCACTACTCACCGTGCTGGGGCCGGCTGTAGGGCGGGTAGGTCACGCTGTGCGCCGCCGTCAACAGGTGACTGAGCCGGTGTACCGATCCAGGACCTCAATTATGATTATAAGTAAAACGGGATGTAGGGATGAAGTCAGCTTGTGCTCAAGACTGACGTCATGACAATCGACACGTGAATATAACGGGCATGTTTGCTCCTTGCTGTCGTGCGGGCGTTCGAATCTCTCCCAGTTTGTTGGCCCGTGTCTCTCTCCCGTCCCCCGGGTCTCTCCGCCGGCTGACTCCGCTCTGTCTGTTCCAGCCGGCTCCCAGCTGCGCTCGCCGAGCTAGACGCAGCAGGTGATGTCGCCGTCGGTCGTGGTGCGCGACTGTGCGTCCATCCCGTGTCCAACGCCCCCCCCCCCCCCCCCACACCGCGCGCTGCTGCCGGGCCCGCCGTCGTAGTTTTATGGCCTTGCGCCGTCAGTCGCCAGCTGGTGGTGGCGACCCGTGATCGCTCGCGTACGTTCGCCGGCGCGCCCATTGCAGAGAAGGGGTTCGCGCATGCCCATTGTAGAGGGGCGCGCCCCTTGCGGAGGCGGTACGCGCTACGCTGTAGACAGTAATGCTTGTTGGGTAGCCCCTTTGCACATTGTTTGTTCATGGATGTAAATACAAGTTACATGACTGATGAGTGTAATGCTTACATTTTTGAACTAAGACATGCCACAGGGCAGGTTACCTTGGTGAGTTTCTGATATCAACATACTGAACATAAGAGCAGAATAATTATCCATAGAGCGTTAAGGATTTTAGCCACCGAATTCACCAGTCAGTAATTGCACATGGTGGCACCATGAGCATGAGTACCTCGCCTTGTCCGATCCTTTTCACAACTAGCAAGTAGAATGTGGGAAAAGGCAGGGAACTTCAAAGCATGCGCATATGTAGATAGCTGATGATTCTCTCTGTTCAAGCACGATCTGGCACTCTGCAGCCTGTTCTGTTCCACATGAGTTGCCGGGACAGCATCACACATGAATTTCTGCATGCTTCAAACAGAAATGCCTTAATTTTCCTTAAAATATATTCATTTTTCACACAAAGACAACAAAAATGTACATGCAGGTGGGTACTGTGGCAAGAAATTACATACAAATGTATTTTGCCATGTAGGTAGGTACCCTCCTTTCACATCACAATCATCAATCATAATTAAGAGCACCAAGACGTTCTTTGCGACTTGCGAGCCCAGCCGTGTCAGACCAGCTGATGCAGGGGCTCTGTCACAGGGGGCACAAGGCCCAGTGGTTATGTCACAGCACAATGTTGTACAACCTGCTATTCAAGAACACTTAAATCTTGAAAAACCTGTAGCTCTCTTGTCACCTCACTTTTCGCACTCTTGACAAATCACTTATCAGTCAGATCAAGACTGAAAATTGAAGAGGATAAGCTCTTTTGTGGGATGTACTTGCAGTTTCAATTCAATGACATAAATTACTCGAAATTACCATTTAAATTGTACTGTACCATGACGAATCTACCATTGAAAGAAAATTGTATCATGACCCTGCTATAAAAAAACTGAAACAAGCTCCAATTGCATATGATAAATTTGGCGATGTTTATAAATCTTGCTGCCTTAGACAAGCAAATCTTCAATTTGTTTCAATTTCAGTCGAGTTCTTCACCAAAAATCCATCGTATATCGACAACCAATGCCTATCACCGAAATCTTGTAGAAATCCTCGGTGGGTGAAATCAGGGGGTGTCGAAGTCTAGTAGGAAAATCTGGCAAATTCCCTGCGTGACGTCACGTCGGGGATGACCGACGGCACCTTGCACTGAAAGATACGGCAGAGCGGCTATTTTTGAAAAATGATTAAAAATACTTTTGTGCTGTTATGACGCATAAAACGCTTATCAGCATGTTCCTCATCATGTGATAAAGGCATATCCGTGGTCGAAAATAGCTGAGCCCCTCCCAATTTCCAACCACCGGCCTCATAAGCAAAGGATGTAAGCGTAATCCTTAAGGGCGACTTTCCTATACATATCCGTACATATGCGTCCTTATGGAAATCGGTAGTGTGGCGATTGGCGACGCGCGCGACATCTGTGTGGCGACCAAGTGGCGACTGTGGCGACACCTGGTGGCTGCTTTTCTGCTGTATGTAGGCATTGGGGTTTTGCCAGATGTGGTTCCTACTGCTACACCACTATGTTGACCCAATACTAGAAAAGTTATTTTGCTAGTAAAAGGCAAGCAAATTGAAAGTTGATTTATAAAATTGCTTATAAATGATTACGAGATAATAATAAAGAAATTTCGATTGAATAATTATTTAAATAATCAACCGTGAAACTATATTCTGGTAGGTTTAGTAGAAATAAGTCCGTGCAACCTTGTATTTAGGGCCTTGGGTGAAATCACGTGACCAAAAAATGGCGGTGGGGTTCAACGATTTTTTCTTCTTCTAAAACATTATGTAAATCCTATGGACTTTTGTCAGGGTATTGCAAGGTGCCAAAAATCTTCATTTTACTGCCGGGGACATCTAATTTTCTTCCCTATCTCATATGAGGATGAACAGAACTACGTATTCATTCCATAAAAACAAAAATAATTTTTGATGCACCACTCGAACGATGGCACATTCCAAGGGCAAGAGGGAGCCTCAGTTTCTGTTGTTACAAATACTGCGCAAACAATACATTTATTCGATATATTCGCAAAACCGCTTACGGCTGCTTTTTCACGCTGAGTGACGTTAGCGCATCACGTTAAAGCCAATCAGCGCATTTCGTACCTTTATGCAAGTGCACTTTGAACAGCTTATCAGGAATGTGCATTGAGTCGCCCTTTTGGCCTTTTTCCCGCTTTTTCATCGAGTTTGAGTGCTGTTGGGGCGAATAATCTCGGAGATGAGTCAGTCTCACATCTAAGGAGCAAATATGCCTTTTTGTTTTGTGCCTCAATGCAGTCATTCCAGCGCCAGGTCCCAGTCAAAGTGCTCCTTCTTCCGATTGCCCCGGGACGAGGGGGAGTTGAAGAAATGGACTACACTGATGAGGTTCGTCATGCGACATTGTGATATCTCCTTTTGTTTATTATCGTGATATTGCTGCTTTTATGACGTTTTAGATATGCACCCCTCACACCATATGGTTAAGTACCTGCTTGGGTAACTTCTAGGTGATTTCAGGACAAATCTTTGAAGTACCTACCTACCTACCTACCTACCCAGTGTTCTAAAATTGGATTTTGATTGGGTGTGCTGATGAAGAAGAAAAAAATCCTAGGATGAGAAAAGGTACCAAATACCTATGGTATTTTTGCAAAAGGGCATACCGTCATTTTTAACGCCAATTGATAAAGCAAGATTTCATGTCAGGATCTCGGCAGGATCTGAAAGAAAAGGATCTAGATGCATCAACTATCAAGTCACATGTATTATGTAACTGCTGTTCAAATGCAGGAAACATTTTTTTCAGTGATGAAATATTGCCACTTTTCCTGATTTTTTGGATGAAAATATTTTCCTCATCGGGCATGATTTTGCACCCATTTTGGCATTAATAGAGCAGATGTCACGTGAAGGCCTTCCAACCAAAGATAGGCACTGTAGGTTTGTAGGTTAGGCCAGGTTAGGTTATGTTTATTTTCCGGTAAACGGGAGATCCCGAGTTTGGATTTCGGTGGTGCCTCCAGAACAGTGGGTGAAGGCGCCAACACCACCGGCGTTAAGGTTAGAAAGAAGCATCTCTGGGTATAGCGCCTCTCCTTAGCTGGAAAACCTTCGTGTGACGTCTGCTCCACTTGTACCAACCCAGTAGGTACATTTGGTTGTAAAAATTGCTGATTTTGCTTGGTGCTTGCTGGTGTGTATTTGTAGACTGGTTGATGTAGGAAGTCTGCTGGTGTGGATATGCTACTCTAGCTTGTTTGTCTTTTCAACTGTTTGTTTCCACCCTTTGCTTAGCATTGCTGAGCAGGGCCCTGTTTCACTGCATGCTGCTACCCACATTCAGGTTCAAATGGAAATGCTGACAAAATTCTGTCCAAATGGAAATGCTGGCAAAATTGTTTAGGTATTTCTGCACTGACATTTCTAAATTCTTTTGAAAATGAGCACCAATGCCCAGCTGCGGTGAGTAGGTAATACTAACTACGGCTTGCCGTGAAGCAGGGCCATGCTGTCTGATTCATTTTCTGCTAATAGAACCAACTTTATTGCTTTGCTTTTTTCACAGGAGACAAGATGCAAAGCCCAATGAGCATTCAAGAGTGTGCTCTTGTCATTTTAGGAATGGCAAGAAAGAAGCTGGTCCAACCCTATTTGCTTGGAATGACTTCAAGAGAAGGTAATCTTGTTGTTGTAACTAGCCTCATACTTATCACTTGTAAACTAGAATAATTCAATAATGGTAATGCTAAGGTGAAGGTCAAAGTGAATGCCAATAACTTAATCCAAACAGCTTAACATTAAATGAGCTTCAAATGATTAAATTCCTCTCATGTTCATGCACATATTGTCTTAGGTTTGTCAGTTTGGTTATATTTACATTAAATGGTGTTTTTGTTAGGCTCGTGATTCATTGCTTTCTGTTCATTGGGTTGATTCATGATTGCAATAATTTGCTTGTCTTGCTAGCCCCCATAAGATACCTTCTGCATCATACCATGAAAAGAAATTGTGTTATACCATGTGTACTATATAAGTGCCTAAAACTTGCAATATTGTCTCCCATTTAGGGTGCCAGCTGATGAAGTGGGCGATGGCACAGGAGGGGCTGCAGCTGTGGCCGCTCCTTCTCCTGTGACTCTCCTGGAGCAGGCTCAGAGAAGAGCAAGTGAGCTAGAGGCTGCCCTGGCAAAGAAGTCTGCTGAGCTGGAACAGGTCAAGAGCCAACATTCAGCTGAAGAATCCCAGATGCGTTCTGTTCTGACTGAGAACCAGGTTTGTCAGTTGTGGGTGGTCTGGCCTTTGGGGCTCTGCAATCTGCATCAAATGCATAGGTCTTGCTATAGGTCAACCGAAGGCCTCATTTTTTCATTTCTGCAATGCCATATGATGAACAACCAGGCCATTTTTGTCTGGTAATAGAGTAAGCATTATAATATTATTGCAAGCTAGAAACTGTGATGCATGTCATGTCACTGCAATGTCTTGCTTGATGCACATTGTAGGTTATTTAGGTATTTGTGCTGAAATATTCCTTTTGTAGATATGATCGTTACTTGTGTTCCTAGTTCTGACCTCAATGTGAACAACTGACGAATAGTGCTGAATGTCCTACCCTTGTCATCGTGCTGAGTTCATTACCCATGATTTGGACAATGGATGAACACTCCCTATTCCCCAACACTAGCGCCGGCGACCAAGCCGGCCGCCCTGGTGGCGGAGCGCAAAACATCGGTGGTCAGGGCACCGGCGGCCGCCGCAGTATGGCGCGTGCTAAAAACGCAGTAGCGGAGAGCAAAATTAGCGAGTTATAGCTCGGGAGACACCATTTGAGACACTTCAAATATATTTCTAGTCCTTTCTCATAGTCGGTGGGTATCCATTTTGTCACTATGACAAACGGAACCATTGCCCGGTGTCCATAAACTGGGTCAACATTCCTGACTCGCCGATGCAAATTGTCGCCAAATATCATCGTTCCTCAGCAATCACATAAGTCCTGGTTGATGAATTAACATTAATATCAACTTATTTTTGTGTTATCGCATAAAAATTCACTGAATTCCTAACATTGGCTCACCGTCTGTTATCACGAACTTTCACTTGGCAGCAGGATTTAAGCAATTTCTGGAATTAAAACTGTGAAAAAGTATTTCCAAGAGATTCCTCACTTCCTATTATACCAGAATCACAGGACTTTTCATCAAGATCAGTCACAAATAAGCAATAAATTGCAAAAATATACAAGAAGACGCGCTCCGCCCATAGCCCGCAATGTTAAAATGGCGCCGGCGCGCTGGCCGTCGTTAAATTGGGTGGTCGGAAAATCGGTGGAGTGTCCTATCCAGGAATACCTAATCCATGAATTGGATGTGAGATGATGGGAATGCATAGTGCATGCATACTGCATAGGTAGTACATAGCACACATGCAGCAAAAAAAGTTAGATAAGCTAGCATATATGCATATTAATTGATGTTAGATTAATTGGTTCTTCACCTAATATCTGTGGTTCTGCTTTTCCTTGCAGCTCACCATGCTGAAGACTGGGAGGCGACCCCATCGGTGGGACGATGAAAGTGTCATCAAAGCCATGGGAATCAGAACAAGTACCTCAAAAAGAGTCTACGAGTATCTACGTGAACAGCAGGGGTAAGCATCACAAAAAGTTTCTAATTTCTACATGAAACATATGAGTGTAAAAGCAATGGCCACTTCAGATTTTTTAATGCCTACCAATTTGTCATAGAGGCATGTTTGCTGGTCTGCCGACTTCTTATGTAAGTTGTGTAGCCCTACAGGAGATAGTGGGTGGTGTAGGTACACCTCTTGGTTTTGCTCATACTCCAACATCTATTAATGAAAGACAGTGGCTATCATGTTTATTGATTGAAATATTGTTCACATGATGCAGTTGTACTTGTAAGAAGAGATGAAGTTGTGTATGCCACTGTTAAAGGACAAAATGTTAGTGCTGACTGTGTCGGCCTGCCGCGGCAGAACAGAATACACTTGACATTGTTTTGACACGCTCAAGGGGATGGACAACCCCACTTTATTACTCTCACGAGAAAAAAAGCAACAGCTTCTTTGAGATGAAACGGACCCTATTACCTAATTCACTAATTCACCTTAGGTCCATTCTGCCACGACTTGGATCGGATGGGTGTCGGGTGATGATGATGCGGTATAGGACGCGTAGCAGCTTGGCCTAAGCGTCCAATACGGATCGGATGGGAAATTATTCAAAATATAATTGGCGATTCTGTGTATTTGAGCAAGTTATTATTTCGTTTCCAGATGGCCGCTTCCAAGCATCCGCAGCATCTCGAGCTGGGTATCGGGGCTGAGGATCGAGCCCTCGTCCATGGCCCAGTTTCTGCAGTTCCTGCAAGTGGCGGCCGCTGAGACAGCCCCGCTCGCCAAGAACTGCGCCATCCTCTTTGATGAGATGTCGGTAGACACGCGACTCTGTTACGACCAGCAGAGGGATGTGATCGTAGGCCCGCACAAGCAGGCCCAGGTGATCATGGTAAGTGACGAGAAGCGCAGCTGACGCCCACCAGGCCAGACGACGCGCGCTGTGGCATGGTGTGCGTGACGGCGGAGACTCCCGGCAATGGGTGCCCAATCACCAGTCCGGATGGGCGGGGGCCGGAGAGGGTACTAAGGGAAGCTGATGTTTAGACATTTATTGTGCCATTTGCCTAAGTCTTGAGCTGCACCTCTCATACCACGTTATTCGCCGAATGAACCGCTGGGTAATGTCGACGAACGAATGACATTCAAAACCTCTGTATTCTCTTCCATCCTGTCCTAGGTCCGATCCATCTGCGGTGCCTGGAAACAGCCCGTCTATGTCGCCTTCGACACCGCCATCAGCCCTGAGATCCTCATGCAGCTCATCCTTTCCCTCGAGGAGATGGGCTATCCTGTGCGAGCCGTGGTCTCTGACATGGGCTCCAAGAACGTCGGTCTGTGGCGGGCCTTGGGGGTCTCGTACGATGGCGAGACCAGCATAGCCAACCCTGCCGCCGCGGATCGGTGAGTCCTCCTAAAAACAAAGTTGGCAAATAGGGAAAACACATAATAAAAAAGAATGGTAACCAGTACGCATCACCTAAGCACATCCAGCGATACAGCCCGACGGCTGTTAGGTCCACTGCGCCTTTGGTGCGAGTGGACACTGGACACCCTCCCCTGTGTCCGGTGATCACGTAATCGGATCAGTGTTGCGCCTGTGGCGCCGGGTCAGGCGTCGGCTCGAAATAGGTTCATGGACATGTAAAAAGTGTGTGCAATGTTGCTAGATATAAATGTATCGGTATATAGTGTGTTCTGGTCCTCATTCATCTTATTGTTCTACCTATTGTTCAGTTACCCTAATATCTACCTATAGCTGCTTGCCGCAGGTGAACTCTCACATGCCACTGTTTTTTTTTTTTCGCTGGCAGGCGAGTGTGGTTCTTCGCCGATGTTCCGCACTGCCTGAAGAACTTGCGGAACCACATCCTGGATGACGGCCTGTACCTGGGGTGTGGTGGCGACCGAGGAGATCCGGTAGTGGACTCGGACCTGATGGAGGAGCTGGCGAGGGAAGTCTCTGCCACGGAGTTCACCGTGAATCGGAAACTGACCGCCCTGCACGTGCATGTAAGTTGCTGTTTTTTTTTTTGTCTGTTTATCAAAACTCAACAAGATGCTAGCACTTCCTGATACAGTATCAGGAAGTCAGGAAGGCGGCGAGCAGTAACTGCTCGCCGCCTCTCCATTGCTTCTGGAGAGGTAACCATATGGCCCATTGTGGGACGTGTCACTATATTATAGATGCCTGCAGATCAACCGTTTCCACTGATTTTCCTTCTCCCCGTGCTCAGTTATTTTCTTTTCACGAAAAATTTAGCGGGACTGGAGATGGGGGAACCTGCCCCTACCGATCTCTTGATGGCTGGATCCCAGCTAACGTACCTCGTCATGCTTCGATAATTCCAAGAGAATAAAAACAATTCCAAGAGAATAAATAAAAGTTCACAAGCCTATAACTTCTGGTATTTTGCTTGATTTCCGTTGTTGTGTAGTTAAAAGCATATCTTTTGCATTGAAAAAATGATATTTTCTCTAGGTAGTAAAGTTTCATAATATAGAATGCTGAGGTGGTAAGTTATCCTGCTTTGCCCTGAATCACCAGCACCAAGGCCTGGTGCATCTATAATCTTTCTGAGGCCGGAGTAAAGGGGGGGGGGTGGTATCTGATTTGTCTCTTAGTCGTTGTTTCTTATTGCTTTGTTATTTGCCCGAACATTATTAGTTGAAACTGTTAGGTTGCCTGTTTTCGTTTATCATTACAGTACCTAAAGGCAGGCATCGGTAAAATCCTTTTTGAAAGGATTGCATTCCCAATCCACATTCCTAGTGCCGAAGTGGATTGCATTCCTACCCGCAATCCCCTTTTTTCACTTGCATTGTGATCAAATCCGCAATCCTTTTTTGCAATCCTGTTGTATTATTATGTGCACAAGTGGATCTGGGGGAGGGAGGGGGGCATAGGGCCGTGCCTCCATCCCCAAATCACCCATTTCTAGTACCTAGTCTTGCGAGTAATTCCTATCTAAGGCACAGGTATTTTATGGGAAATATTTTTTGCCTCAAACACCCCCACATTTAAACCTCTACCCAACCAGTGTTTTATATTTTTAAAACTCGCCCTCAAGGATTGCAAAAGGATTGCAAATTTGGATTGCAAACATTGGAAGTATGATGCAATCCAATCCGCAATCAAATCCTGTTTTTTGGAATGGATTTCAAATCCAGGTGCAATCCACCAAAAAGGAATGCAATCAGGATTTTGCAATCCTGCAATCACAATCCTACCGATGCCTGCCTAAAGGATGTATTGTAATCACATTTCTTATTAACAGTTCCGTGTGCCCTGATTTTTTATCAATGATAAGGTTCACTTTATTGGTATCAATACGCCTCCTTATCTTTTCACATCTTCAAAAGAATGAGTTTTGCTTGCACACCTAGCGAGTTATGACGCCTTGGTTTTTCGTACGCACTTTCAATATAGTTTCTAATCGAATGCTGTCTTTCAGGCAGCGAAAGGAGACCGCCAGCGAGTCTATCTCGCCGCCCAACTTCTCAGCGAGACCGTCGCCAAATCCATCCCGGAGGTCTTCGAAGGGCAAGAAAAGGCAGCGGAGGTCATCAACATCATCGACAGCGGCTTTGATGTCCTCAATTCCCGGCGGCGGTACGCTGACAAGCCGCTGCGGTGCGGCCTGGGCGTGCACCTGACTGAGCAGTTAGCAGCACTCCGCAAGCTGGAGGAGCTCCTGCTGACGGCGCGATTTGGCAGCAGGAAGACGCTTCTTCCATTTCAGCAGGGCTTCCTGCTGTCCATCCGCTCCACCCTGGCGCTCTACAAAGAGATGGAGAAGGTGGACGGGTTCCAGTTCCTGCAGACTGCACTGCTCAACCAAGACGCCCTGGAGTCGCTCTTCAGCTCTGTCAGGACCAAGTTCGGTTCAAACCTGAATCCGACTCCAACCGAGCTGTTGTACCGCCTCCGCCTGCTGCTGATCGGCGCGTCTCCGGCAGCAGCGCGACAGACGTCTGTCCGACCAGCCAGCCTGCCTGAAGAGGGCCTCCTCAGCGCTGCGCGTGCCGGCCGGCCTCCACAGTGCGGCACAGAGGACGAGTTTGTGGTGCCGATATTCAGTGGCTACGATGCCACCACCATCAGCAGCACTACCATCGCTCCCTCCGTCGACCAGCTCAGCGCGGCCACACCGCCGGAGCCCGCTGTTCCGGTCGAGCTGCTGGAGGAGATCGGCGTCCCTCCGAACGGAGCTGAGACCGAAACCAGCCAGGCCATCAGCGAATACGGGATGCAGTACGCTGCTGGCTTCGTGGCTGCTAAGCGTGCCAAAGTCGACCCCACCCTCGGCACTCGCACCTGCGACATGGCTGAAGAGGACGTCCCGTCGGGGGCCCGCTGGATATACCTCCTCAGTCGTGGACATCTGACCGTGCCATCCGAGCAGTGGCTGGAAAACTTCAAGGAGTTTGAAGTTGTCTTCTGCGCCATACACAGAGGGCAAGGAATGGCTCGGAGGAACGGCACACTCGACCAGCTGTCAAGAGCCCCGGGTGTCGTCAAAACGCTGAGCGACACGCTGTGCCTCAGGTGGCCGCGGCTGGACGAGCGGGTCATCTCCCTGTACGCCAGGCTGCGTACCTTCATCCGGCTGCGGCACGTGGCCAAGGTGCGTCGAGGCGACCATCTGGCAGCTCTGGCGGAGGCCGCCGCGCGGCGCTCGGAGAAGCCGACTCCGACGCCAGTGGTGGGAACGAGGCGGCAGTTTGTGAAAGCGCGCCAGTTTGCTCGCGGTGCAGTGTACCTGTGACTGACAGAGGGACGTGAGCAGCTGAGTGTGTAGCGCCTCGCTGTGATCTAACGGAGACCACTGAATTCGATCAGTGTCTAGCATCATGCGGCCGGGAAGGGCCTTTCGCTCATCGAAGAAGGGTGTACTATGTGATGGTATGTTGTTTTTGTTTTACTGTTGTATTGCTGCATCGCTGTTGCACCTAAATACTGCGTCTCTGTGTTTTTGAGTGCCATACTGCCGAGTGCCGAGGGCCACCAGCTCAGTTCGCAGGCGTTTCTGGGTTATGCCGCAGTTTTGGCGGTTCTTGTTCGGGGGAGGAGGGACAGTTTTTTTTTGTCTATGCTCTTGTTCCGGTTCAAGGTCCGTGGTTAGGGGCCAGTGGGCGTCGTATCGTATGTTGGAATGCGTACTGTTCCTTCGCTGGAGGCTACCATATGTTGCATATTGTTTGGTGTGTTAAATATGTGGTCCTTAAAAAGAGCTCTGATTGAAAAATAATTACTTCGGCACGTATTTATTAACTTTAATTAATGATTCACAACGGTACAAACGATCAACGTACGACAGTGAATAATTATTCAGAATGTTGCACGCAGGGCACGGAACTAGGCACGTCTGTGGCTTAGCAACGAAAGTACTGGCCGGTGAACACAACACACGCATACGAGTACATCACAACATAACCTAGCCAGTGTGATGCCACACTAAGATGTTTCAATCTGAATTATGATTGCGTTCTTTGAAATTTCACATTCCGCAAAGGAGAAGTCCGGGTAATATGAGATACGATCGGCCGCCAATACATCAGTGTATGGGTAGGCTCAGAGTGTAAGCTTCTTTTATGCTCTCTCAGACCTGACAACAGGCGGACTTGGGTCTAATCAGAAAGGGTCATCAGAATGTGATATGGAACCTAGGGAGTCCAGAGCGATATAGAAAGAGGCAGAGAGAAACTGAAACGCCATAACCAAGGCTGGACTGAATGGTGGACCCAGGCGAGGCTGGAAGGAGGAATCAAAACCAAGGACAAGGGAGGTAGAGACCAAGGACGGCGAGGCAATCGTTGACGACGGGCAGGCGATGAAAACTTGGCCCTTGAGGCTTGACAACCCTAGTGAGCGCAATAAGGGCGGTGGACCTGTATGACATCGTCTCCTTCGCTCAGTTTTTTTTTTTAAAGCTGGTTTTCAAGACAGTCATGTTCATATAATGAGGATTCTGAATCAAATTAATCAAAGGCGTTGCCGTCCTGTTTTCTTATTTCACGGGCCACCAATATTATATAAGTAATAATAGATAGATATGAATAACTACCAAAAACTATAGCAATGCTAACATTTATTGCCAACAGTAAAAATTTGCTAGCCTGCATCCTCAATTGTAAACAATATCAAGAGGATTTTACCATTTTCCCTGCTTTTGCCAAATTGATTTTTCGGTTTATTCAAAAACAAAGATATTTGTAATTGTTATTATTATTATTATTTGCATTATAAAAGACTACATTTTGTGTAAATATTACTTACATATATCAATAAACTACGATAACTCTTGATATCTTCACTAACGGGCCTCAACCAAGGGGGGCGCAACTTCAACACCAAGCAGAAATTAGTCACGTGACTACCTGCACAACCTTATCTATGGAAATCCTCAATCCCGCAAAATTTCGCAAGGCCGCTCTTTGTTTACATTATAGTGATGGGCCAATCTGACCGCTCAAGTACTTGTTTTGCGGGAGTAAGTACATTTTTGTCGTTTTTCAAACGGCTATAACTTGCAAAGTATAGCATCAATAGGCATTTTATGTATATCGTTGAAATCGGCAGAGTCTGGAGACTTAACTGATAGGCAATACATTCCGATTCCTTTCAATTTTTAAACCCTGATAATCCCTTTAAGGCTCGTTGTATGTAAGGCATTTGATGATATCGTTTTTTTTGTTTTACTTTAATGACCTCCTTACAATGATAATGAAACTTTCATCTCAATTCGTTTATTTTTTATATGAATTTTCGGCCACGGGCCATGATCACATATACATATAGTCAAAAGCAAAGTCAAAAGTGTAAAAAGAGAATGCCAAAGAAACAACATTTTCGTCAGTTTTCCTCATCCTATGGTTACACGTGACTATTATGTGGGACACACTTTAGTGACCCTACACAGAGATAATATGAATATAGTG